GGCGGGGGCCGGGCCGAGGCCCCGGCCGGGCCCCACCGGGCTTCTCACCTCCGCGATGTCATGTTCCTCCTGCCCTCCGACGGGCCCGCTCCTTGCTTAGGCTCCGCTGGGCCCGGTCACATCGGGCTGGCCAGAGGGAGGCCCGCTCGGGACCGGACGCGGGGGGTGGCCAGAGCCAGCCGGCCGCGCGCAGACCCCCCTCCAGGCCTGGGGATCCCAAGACTGTGCAGCCGCCCCCCCAAAAAGCCCGGCTCGCTCCTCCTCCTTCCCCGCCCCTCGCGCCGGCGCCCTGTGACGTCACCCCGCGCGACGCCCGCCGCCACTTCCTGCTTCCCGTCCCCAGGGTTAGAGCCGCCGCTCGTACCTAGTGGAATTTGTAGAGCCGCTGTCGCTGTGCACCTCCCAAAGCTCTGCGGCTCCCTCCTGTAAGCCCTGCCTGCAGAGTGCGAGCCTCGCGTTCGGCCTCGCACGCGCTCGATCGGGTCCCTCCCACCCTGTCATTTTTCCAGCCCCGCCCCGATGGCCGAGTGGAGGAGTTTCATTCATTTCACTCCGTACACCGCTGGGCTACTTAATAGCTGCGAAACCTTGGAAGAGTAACTTAGTTTCTCAGAGCCTCAAGTTCTCCACTCTTCCCTTCCAGTGAAATAAAGATACCGTCGTAATTGTATATGCTTTATAGGGTTATCGTGATGATTAAATGTGCCAAATACTGAGCACTGAGCCTGTCTATACTGTAAACACTTTTATGACTGTTGCCTATTAGGATAAACCTCCCCTTGGGTGTTTTTCAGTGGTTAGGAACTATTTTCGACTATGTATATGTCACAGTGAACAAAAAACGCTCATAGGAAGAGGTACAGTAAACTAAAAATGGATTGACTCGGGGGCTGGGGGTTTTTGTGCAAGGCCTGGAATTACATCCCCAGCCCTGCAAAACCAATGGATTGATAGAAAGGCATAAATGTACACGTATGATACACAGAGATATAAAGGGCTAAAAGAAAAGACAAGAAAGAATGGGAGTACAATACTCCTCCTCCTCGATGGCTGGCCTCCAAAACTCCCAGTGGATGCCTGGAACTTCAGACAGCGCCAGACCCTACATGTCTTAGTTACTTTTCTCGTTGCTGGGGCAAAATACCCAATACCCAAAGTTAAAGAAGGAAAGGTTTATTTAGCTCGCAGTTTGTGGAAGTTTCAATGCATAACCTCTGGCTCCAGAGCAGGGTGGTGTGGCAGACAGGTGTCCCAAAAAACGGTTCATGGCAGGCAGAAGACAGCAAAACAAGGAAGGGCAGAAGATAGCAAAACAACCAAGGGACTTCAACAGCGTCTATCTGCCCCTTTTACCATATCCGGGCTACTTAGGGCAGGTAGCATTCACAACCTTAATCCTAGCACCCATGCAGCTGACATTGTACCATCAATCAATTCCAGCCTCACACACTCTAGATCCAGCCACCTCTTGAAAAGGCCCACCTATGACCCATGAGGCTTTGGGGGGTACATTTAAACACAAGCCATAACACTATATATGTTGTGTTTTTTCCTGTACATCCATGTGATAAAGTTTAACATGTGAGTTAGACACAATAAAAAATTAACGAAAAAACAACAGACTGTTCTATAAGCTTAATGCTACAGCAAAACATTGCTGTACATTGGTAAAACACTTTCTGTTCGTGTCTTCACCCACAAATTGAATACCTTTCCCTTAACCAGGCAGGATCACACACTGTGACCATAACTTCTGCAGTCTACTCCAAATTTCTCCTTTCTTCCTCACAATCTCATGGGTGGAAGATTCACTCTTACATGTTAGCCTCTGCATCAAATTTCTTTTTTTCTTATTAAGGTGACTTTCATCTTTTTCACTTAAAAGCACCATGATAGCTTCTCTTCGGTATATCCGAATTGCCAGCATCATTACTCTTGCATTCAGGGCCATTATTAAGTAAAAGAAGGTCTACCTGAATAAAGCACTGCAATACCTGGACACAGCATGCAATTTAAAATCTATGAATTGTTTATTTCTGGAATTTTCCAGATGACATTTCCAGACGACAGTTGACTGTGGATAACTGAAACCCAGGAAGAGAAAATCAGGTTGGGGGGAGGGTGGTTAGTAGGAAAAGTTTTCACTGAAATGGCATTTGAGTAAAAACCTGAGCCATGTGAGTAAAATACCTGAGCCTAGCATGGTGACACACACCTGTAACCCTAACTCTGGGGAGGCTGAAGCAGATGGATCACCACAGCCTGGGCTACGTAATGAGTTCAAGACCACCCTGAACTACAAAGTGAGACCCTGTTTCAAATCATCATCACGATCATCATTATCATCACCCAAGCACTGGGAGGTTGCGTCAGGAGGATTCCAGTTTGAGCTCATCCTGGGCAATTTAGTGAAACCCTGTGTCAAAATAAAAAATAAAAAGGACTTGGGGTGTAAGGTTAGTATAAAGACCCTGGATTCAATCTCCAGTACCATCACCACCATAAAAAAGCATTTACTTGAGGTATGCTGTGAAGATTGAAACAAAAGGGTAAAGCTGGAAATAGACTATGACCAGAGACTGTTGTGGCTCGGTGTGAGAAGATGGAGTTTTGTTTGGTTTGGTTTGGTTTGGGGTTTGTTTTTTGTTGGTTTTGGTTTTGTTTTGTTTTTGTTGTTGTTTTTTTTTTTTTTTTTTTTTTTTTTTTTTTTT